TCTTTTGTCAGCTTGGCAATTGTCTCGTCCAAGGCTGCCATTTCCTCTGTGAGGTTTTTCACCTTTGAAGAGAAAGAAGCAAATTCAATTAAAGCTAAATAGGTACACGACTCCCATAACAGCACAGAGCTCTTTTCTGGAGTGTGATTGACATCTTCTGCCTCATACCTTGTTTTCGGTGGCATGCTTCTCCTTCTCAACCTTGGCCAACGTTAACTCCAGGTCATCTATATCTTTCTTCAGCTCTGAGCATTCATCCTCCAGTTTCCTCTTCTTGGCTGTCAGCTCAGCATTCATCTCTTCCTCATCTTCTGCTCTCTCTGTAAGCTCCTTAATTTTGGCTTCCAGCTGGATTTTGGTTTTGATGAGCTGGTCACATCTTTCTTCAGCATCTGCCAAACCATCTGCTTCCTGCACATAATTTGAATAAAATATTTTTCAAAATGCTATTTGTTTGTAAGTCATTATTCTTCCATTCTTTAACTAGCCAGGAATTATTTTCAGTGCAGCTTTATTATGATATTTCTACTTAGAACTTGTTATCATAAGAATATTTATTTTTTTTGAATGCCTCAAGCACAGAAGGTAAAGGAATATACATTTTTAAATGTCAGACTATAGTTATGTATGTTGAGAAGTGTTGGGGCCAGTTGAAACCTATTCCTAATCCTTTTCCAGTAATAACAGTTCTGAGGGGGTCATTGCTGCTATCCTTTTATTTCCCGGGAAGCACAGGACTCCATTTTCATCAGTGTTTTTCCTGAGGAAACAGGAACCAGAAATTGTAGAGAAATGCCTCTTACACTCATCCACTCTTACTCCAATTGAATCCCTTTGTAATTCCCCAAGTTAAAGTATTAATTGGACCTCCAATTAAATTGGACCTTCATTAATCAGTTTATAACATATCAAAATTATATAGTAAATGAGGCCATTTAGAGGCTGTAAGTTGTCAACTATGATTTAAAATATCATACTGTAAATTGCATAATTTACTTGGGAAATGGTTTAATTCTCTCCTGATTTAAAAGTGTAAGGAACCAAATGCCATAATTAATTGCAAATTTGTTAAAATTTATGTATTTCATCTTAGCTTTTTAAGGTGTTTTTTTTCCTTTCTATTTTAATAATTAATATTTTAATATCCTTCCTATTTAAATAATTATTTATATGCTGTTTAAATTAATACTGCTTTAGAATAATGTGTCTGTTACTGAGAAAACTGTGATAATTTCACATAGGGCATTATGAGAGCCAAAGCATTAGCAGTACTCACAGCCTGCACTTGGAGCTGCAGATCATTTTTCTCCTGCAGCAGGGACACCATTTTCTCCTCCAGCTCCTTCCTCTTTGCCTCAGACTTTGCAAGCTCTTCCTTGGTCTTCTCAAACTCTTCCTTCATGTTGGCCATCTCCTTTTCAGACTCTGCACTCTTCAGCAAGGGTTTGATTTTGAAGAACAGCTTCATCCAGGGCCAGTGCTTGACATTCATGAATGCACGAACATTGTACTGAATACAGAAGATAGATTCCCTAAAAGGTATTGAACATATATATTATCTTTTATATTTTTAAATGTGTAATACATAATTAACTGTCTATATAACAATATATATATCATGTAGTGACTGTTCTACATAGAATACTTCATATAGTTCTCTACATAATGGATTATAGATACACATATATATTTTATATATATTTTATGAATATGTGAAGCAAATGTCCTTTTGTGATGTAGAGATAGCCAATTTGTATGAACAGATTTGAAGTTCAGATGTTTGAGCCATTTTTATGGCCAAAGAAATGGAGCACCTCCAGGAGGGGATGACAGTTATTTAAGGGAAGAGAATGCTTTCCTGTACTAGAGGTATGTGTTTTTCTCCTTTGATTATAATGGTAGCCTAAAACAATTATGAGTAATTATTTTATTTATAATTTATAATTATTATCATATTCATTTACAGTTATTTTAGGTTGCATATCTGAATTCTGGACATCTAAAGAGTTCAATAAATATTGCTACCAAGGGTGACATAAATTAAATATCTTTTTTTTACTTCCAAAAACAGGGCTTTATACTGGATTTTTAATGAAAACAAGTTTTATACTTCATCTACTGTCATTGTACATTTTCAAACACATCCATACTGATAAACTGAACTAATGAGAAATAGATGAGATTCACTGAGATGGAGCTCATTTTCAGTTGCATTCATGTCATTGGTGTGTGATGATGATTGGCCCATCAGGCCAAATAATTGTATATATCTACCTTCTTTCCATCATTTTCTTGAACTCCACTCTCATCAGGAAGCCCCTGCACCTGGCCTGTGTGCGAGTGATGAGCTGTGCCAGCTTCTCATCTCTCATCTCCTCCAGGAGTCCCAGAAGCCCAGCTTTGAAGAACACCTTGAGAAATGGAATGTTGCAGCACATAATTTTCTGGTACTGCAAAGTACAGATACATAGCACTTCAGTCAAGCAGTATTTGTACCTTGGTGTGACCAAATTTGTACTGGGTGTGGTCCACATCGATTGACCCAAGAAGTTTCTCAGAAGCTTTCTTGCTGTCGATGAACTGTCCCTCAGGGATGGCACTGGCATTAAGCACCTTGTATCTATAGGAGGAAGTAGATTATGAAGAACAGATTCCTGAAAGCTCAGTCAAACCTGTATCAACTAATTCCATTGTTTAGTTTTTCTGCAAGAGGTCATGGATAGAAGTAAGCTTGAACTCTGCACTGTTTCTTAGAAATGACATTTTCATGGGTAAATTTGTTTTTAGAATAAAGTATTCACTTTCCTTAGTCCACAAATCCTTGATACAGATTTAATACTGCTTTTCATAGGTAACTGCTGACATATTTCCCATGCCTTATAAAGCACATTTAATGCCTTATCTTCAAAGGAGAACTCTTTGCAAGAACAAAATGTGAGGATGAGAAACAATTCCTCATCCAAAATAGTTGTAGTACATGCTCTTAGTGTGCTTCCCAGCTGATACAGAGAAAGAAGAAAAACCTAATTTTATTTAGTTTTCCAAAAATTTAGCTAACGTATTTTGCAGCTGCTTTATTCACATTCATATTCTGATGCCTACAAGTTATTCTTCTTTGCTATCTAAAAGTTAACTAAGTCCAAGCTAGTCAACTTTCTGGATGCTTTATCACATACTAAAGAACTAATAAAAGACTCCAAATTGCCCTTTGGGGGTGGCTCCTATAGTCAGCTATAGAAAGAAACTAGTTACTAATTTGGACAACTGACTTCAGTAAGACTGAAGATAGGTACTATAAAACTTCCATAACATCCACAGTATTTGAAACAGTTAGGAAATAGAAATTATTCAGTAAAGATGTGGCAAACAGTGAATTAAGTGGAGTCTGACCTCTGTTTAAAGTCCGCATAAAGTATTCTGCTCGGGAATCCTTTCCTGCAAATCCTGATCCCTTCCAGCACGCCATTACAGCGCAGCTGGTGCAGCACCAGTTCATGCTCCATGGCACCTAACAAATGACATTATGAATTGGTACTTCATTGTACTGCACAGAAAATAACAAATTTCTCACATGTTTGAACCTGAACTACTTACCAGGTGTTTTTGTTTCATTGGGAATGAGGCATCGCACAAAATGAGGATGTGTGCTTCGCAGATTGCTCATCAGTTTGTTTAAATTTTCCTTAACAACAAAAGTAAAGATTATGTTTAAAAATGTTACTTATACAATCTCATTATTAGATGGAGTAAAACTGCTGCATTAAGATCACGATCAGAAATTTTTTGGCAATTCTGTAGTAATTCTTCCAGTGATTTGATGAGAAGCCTTTGTTACAAAACATAGGCCTTTACTCTTACTGAACATAAATATTTTATATATTAGATTGATATAAAGCTTTTTTTCCTGTACTGATTTTTCTGTCTCTTTTTCACAATTTAGTAGAGTTTATAATGCTTATACCCGGAAAAGAGCTGAAACAGTCTGGAAAGAAGACCCCTTCTTCTTGCCACCTTTCTTGCCACCGCCACTGCTCTCTGAAAAATAATATATATACTTTCAAAAGAAATATAATAACAAAATAACAGAATAACAGAATAACAAAAACATGTGGTTAGAATTTTAAAAAATATGTATTTTTATCTTAAGAAATAAAAACTGTAGTGATATGAGAAAAAATAACAAATCCAGACAGTGTTTAAAATTACAATATAGTGTTTTTTAGATAATAGTAGAAGAAAATGTAATGACTTGTCTTAACACAAGTTAAGAAAATGGAAACAGAAAATAAATGCAATATCTTGTACAGTAGCATAATTAAGGAATTAACTCATGAATAAATACAGCAAATGCAATAACTTATTAGTGTTAAAATATCTTTACATCTAAAATTAGCACATAAATGTAACACCATTCTTTTGAGTTTGATATTACTTCCTGAAGTATTTGGGAATGCCTCTTACTAGAGAAATTATCCGGTGTGTCAGTAAGTCTTTGTAAATTCTTTAGTGTAGCTGTCTAATCATAAAATCAACACATTTATTAAAGTTTGTAGGGAAATGTAATATCCTTTATTAGTCTGAGTGACTAAATTCCAAAAAACAGACAAGATTTTGGATTCACAAACTTCATTATTTTAAGAAACCTTTTATATATACAAGCCTTGTTTTCTGTATATTTTAAATTCTAGTGATCAAAGTAATACTTGCTACTTATGAATCTGGAAGTGCTACATTTATATAACGTAAATATTAATATTAATGAAAAATGATGCAAAATATTATTGCAAATATTTATTTATTATTGTAGAATTTATTTAAAATAAATTACCTGCTTCTGCCCCACCAACAGAAGCAAACAGTAAGGCCAATGTCTTCAGGGATGATTTTTGGTACAGCCCCACAACAGTTTCGTTCAGGGGGTCCTTGTTCTTCTCAAGCCAGCCAGTGATATTGTAGTCTACTGTGCCAGCATAGTGCACCAGGGAGAAGTGGGCCTCAGCCTTGCCTTTGCCAGGCTTGGGCTTCTGGAAGTTGTTGGACTTGCCCAGATGCTGGTCATAGAGCTTGTTCTTGAAAGAGGTGTCAGTTGCCTTGGGGAACATGCACTCCTCTTCCAGGATGGAGAAGATGCCCATGGGCTGGAGTAAAATACGAATATACAAAGAAAGAAAGTCAGGACACGGAAAAGATAATATAAGAAAAAGAAATGGAAGATAGTGATGATACAAATGTGTCATCTCTTTTTTTTTCCAGAAATGGCATATTTTTAGTAGATGTTTCATCATTTATATGAAAACAAGTTCATTGGGATGTGTCAAGGTTGTAATGTAGTACAGATCTAGCATGTAAACATTCATGTTGTGCATGTTAGTTGAAGATGAAAAGTAAAATGAATGAAATTATCAGCATTTAAGTGTAAGAAAGAGTTTACATTACGTAAATTTTTTTTTTTTTTTTGAAACAAGATAGAAAATTTCTTCAAACATTAAAGTAGAAGCTGCTCAGTGTATTTACTCACTCAGCAGAAATAAAAGAATACAAGTGTTTCAGTGTGAATTCTAAAACAGACTTACTACTGTGACTATGACTGAGAATTTTGCCCACCTGTGAATATATACTACTTGACAAAATCCTACAGGTAGTGATATAGGGGACAACTTAACCACCTCACAGTCAGACACATGAAGACAAATATACAGAGCTCAGTATCCAGAAAAAAAAAAAAAAAAAAACATATGTCTTGCCACATATTAGAGTAGTCTAAATTTTAGCATAGAACAATTCCTTTTACATCTGAAAAACTATGAAGTGCAGGAGGCCCAAATACCTTCTCAATGAGCTCAATGCAGGCAGCCAGATCCATGCCAAAGTCAATGAACTCCCATTCAATGCCTTCCTTCTTATACTCCTCTTGCTCCAGAACGAACATGTGATGGTTGAAAAACTGTTGCAGTTTCTCATTGGTGAAGTTGATGCACAGCTGCTCCAGGCTGTTGAACTGCAGAATGCAAGGAGATTTACTTGTAAAGTTCAGTTCCATGAACACATGAGATTTTCTAGTATGTCTGATTTTCAACCTGTTAAGGCTCACCGAATCATGGAATGGCTTGGGTTGGAAGAATTTTAAAGATCATCTGCTGTAGGCAGGTTCACCACCCACTAGATCAGACTTTGCAGGGCCCCATCCAACCTGGCCTTGACCATATTGACAGCATCTCTGGGCAACTTGTTCCATTGTCTCACCACCCTCAGAGTAAAGAATTTCCTCCCACTCTTTTAGCTGAAAACCAACCCCCTTGTCCTATCTCTATGTGCCTGTGTAAAAAGTCACTGTCCATCTTTTTTGTAAGCCCCAGATAAGTACTGGAAGATTACAATGTGTTCGCCTCAGAGCCTTATCTTCTCCAGGCTGAACAAGCTCAGCTCCTTCAGTCTTTCTTCATGAGAGAGTTGCTGTAACCCTCTGAGCATCCTCCTGGCCCTCCATGAATGTGGACCTGGACTGCTGACTGGAGTATTCCATCCTTTAATATATTTACACTTTCAAGCCCTAGCCCCTTCTGAACATGTTTATGAACATTCAGAGCTCACACCAAGATGCTAGTTATCAGAGTACTTTGCCTTCCTGGATTTATCTACACTGATGGTCTATTCCCAAGCATTCAGAGGGAATCTGGCTTCTGCATTAACAAAATCTTCATGAATAAGTTTCAATTTCCTCACAATCTACTTTAGCCATCAGTTATTAAACATTCTGATAGCACTTTTAAGTACAGTTTTCATTGCTACATGCAACAAACCCACAGCCTTTCTAAGTTAAGTACTTCATGAGCTAAGTACTGCATAATGGAAAAGAAAAAAAACTATTCCAGTCCAACGTCCCTTCCATTAAACTTGTAAGACTGTCCTCTTACATCAAAGATCTCAAAGCCAGCGATGTCCAGGACACCAATGAAGTACTGCCTGGGCTGCTTGGTATCCAGCTGCTGATTGATGCGAACAACCATCCACAAGAACATCTTCTCAAAGACAGATTTTGCGAGGGCACCCACTGAATTGTATACCTAAACAAATATAGAATAAAAAAGTTAACATCCACGATAAAAGCAGAAGTCCCACGCTTTTAATTCATGCCATGAATTTTCTGTCACCACTTGTTTCTTACCTGCTGCACGGTTTGACCCTTGGTCACATACTCATTCCCAACCTTGACACGGGGGTAGCACAGCGCCTTGAGCAGGTCTGCTGAGTTCAGACCCATCAGGTAAGCAGCCTTGTCTGCAACTAAACAAACACACAATCGGATCAAGTATAAACTCCCCAGTATATGTATCTTTTAGTAATTTGGAATGACTTCTGCATAAATCACACACATTCTGAATCACATACTTACAAGAGTTGCACTCTCTCTTGATGTACTGTTTGATTGTGTTTTTTTTTTTTAACTGGCTATTTAATTTTCTTTTTTTCCAACTGAGATTTTTAAATATAAAAATTCTTCCAAATGAATTTACAATGTCCAAGCAAATTTTAAAGTGGCTAGCCAAGCAAAAGGCCATTTCCTTAGCTTTTTCCAACTTACAATTTCTGAACAAACAGAAGAAGAAACAGATTGGTAACAAAATATGCTGTACTTGTTGGAGTTAATGAAATTCTATGGGCATTAGAGAGAAAAATTAGTGAAGCATTATGTCACAAGTTCAAATACGGTATCTAATATAGCATTCATAGCAGGACTGCATTTTCCTTAAGGATAAGTTTTAAACACATGGGAGCTATACACAGGACAAATAAATTTAATAAACTATGAGAAAGAGAGGGGGAAAGGGTAGGAAAAAGAAAAGGTAGGTCTGACAAAAAGGCATCTGACATGAAAGTGAATAGGAAGCATAGGTGTGTAATTGCATTCCTCCATGCAGAATAAACTGCACCCATGAATTGCCAATTCATCTACACTTGATAAATGTTTACAGAGACCAAACATTTGAAGTCAGCAGTGAGGGGGCAGATGGCGTGTTTCATCAGTGACACCATCATTGCAGCTATGAAAGAGTGCGTCACTCCTACTGGTGCAGACTTTTATGATTGCAGCATGCAGGCTCATGTTCACTGCTGCAAAAAAGCATAGTTAATGGCGGTGATTGTGTAGCTGACAATCTGCTCTACCAAATAATGTTATTGTGCTCCATGCTGTAATTTCTACAGAAATAAATAGGAAGCATTACTTTTGGATCAATCTACAATGTACAAATCCTAATTTTGAGCTGTTTCTGTTGTATGTGTTATTTATACTTCTGTTTTTTAATTGCATTTATCACTAGAAAAATAGCAAAGATGAACCTTTGGATTTTTTTTTTGTTTGTTTGTTTTTGTTTTTGTTTTTGTTTTTTTTTAACCAGTCAATTTTACAGGGTAATTTTAAAATATGTAATAATTCCCTAGTTCTCTTTAAAACCATAGGAAATATAGTCTTATATAACTTTTCTGCTTAAGATTATTCAATGATATATTTTCTACATGGAAATAATTGTGGTTTTTAGAAATATTTCCAAAAACTTGTAAAGGAATTAAACCCTGAACAATTTCAGGGAAAGGAAACACAATACATGTATGTTAGTTGACTTTCAAATGGAAGTCTTGGAAACCAGCTTAAAGTCAACAGAAAATGTAACAGCCACACCTGCAGTATTAACTGCTGTTCCATTTTAACCACCCGTGTAAATTAAAATGGAACAGTGCTCTCACTGCGGGCATTGAGAGTTGCCTTCAGAACACAGGCTTCAGGGCAGAGCAGCGTCAGGATTCTGGCTTATTTTTACATGGAAACAACAACTTCAGGAGGTGACTACCACTGATGACAAATGGCAGATAGCTGCCTGGGTACATGAACGTAAGTCAGTGAGCGGAGTGGTTCTTGGTTATGTACCAGATGTAGAAAGCTGCCAGTCAGAAGAACAGCCAATCTTGTCTTTCTTCTGCCTGACTATGTCTATGTCAGCCAATGGAAGTGTGGTTCAGGATTCCCTGGCCCTTGTATTTGCATAGTTCAAAGCAGTCTGCATCTCCCACTGGGTTGTATTCCTCCACGGAAGACCAGTATTTAGGACACCTTTATATGCAGCAGTAGGAGCATGAGGGGAAAACCGTGGGCAGAGTCAGTGACTCTGAACAGGAATTACTGCCTGTATTAGCGAGTGTTTCAGTATATATTGTGCTAATACCTTCTGTGCCATCTGGCTCTGCCTGCTCTTCACGCTGCTTCTGCTTAAACTTCAGGTTGCCATAGTGCATGACAGCCCCCGTCAGCTTGTAAATGGCTGTTTTTTCATCAGGAGTGAAGCCCAGGATGTCAATGGCACTCTAACAAAGGAAGAAGTGAAGAATACTTAGACGTAAGTACCATGCCTGCTTCTAGGTCAGAGTCCACCCAAGAAAACTTCTGTGCACTGCTTACATCAGTGGCCATCAGCTCCTCCTGGTCGTTAATGCTGGGCACTGTGATCTCGCCTTGACTCACATAGTGATAGTCATATGGGTTGGTGGTGATCAGCAGCATTTCTGAGAAGAAACACAAAACACGTACAGATCAAACAGAATTGGCATGGAAAGGAATGAAAGAGATTGTTCAGTGTTCTGTGTTTGGAGAAGTTCCTACCAATTAGCTCTGGTTTCTTGTTGGACATGATCTGATAAAAGATGTGGTAGCTTCTTTCTGCCTTGAGCTGGAAAGTGACCCTGGACTTCTCCAGCAGATCTGTCAAGGATGGTAGGAGAGACTTAGCACAAAAACCGAGGATGGTTAGAAGGAATGTGACCAATCAGACCTGGAGGGTCTCTTACATGTTTCAATGTCAGCAGAAGCCAGTTTGCCTGTGGCACCAAAGTGGATTCTGATGAATTTACCCTGAAAGAATAAAAAATAAGTGACCTAGGTCCACCTTCCCATCTCCAACTGAGAAAATACTTCATTTGCTGCGATGATGAGGAAAAGAGTCGTTTCTTCTTAGGCCAGGCAACAACTTACAAAGCGTGAGGAGTTGTCATTCCTCACAGTCTTGGCATTCCCAAAAGCCTCCAACAGAGGGTTGGCACTGATGATTTGATCCTCAAGTGTTCCCTGAAACAGAAATCTTGTCATGCTTCAGCTCAGAAAACAGTCTGACAGTTGCAGAGTCCTACTTCTAGGAGCTCACCTGCATTTTGCCTGCTGGCTGCTCCTCCTTCTTCTTATCTCCACTAGCTGCAATTGTTGCAAAGTACTGGATGACACGTTTCGTGTTCACAGTCTTCCCTGCACCGGATTCTCCGCTGTCCAGCCAAACAGAGAAGCAGAGAGCGTGAGGTCAGGGAGAAGGTCCCCTGGCACAGGGCAGCCCCGCAGGGACCCGAGCAGGGAGCGTACTTACGTGATCAGGATCGACTGATTCTCGCGGTCTGTGAAAGAGGCAAAAGGAAAGTTTAACCATTGTCCTGAGTAGCACTGGGCTGACTTCAAAGCAAAGCTGTAAGTTGGAGCTTCTTCAGAAGCACTAATTCCCAGGGAAAAGAAATGGATTTGCTTCCATATCCCTCAGTAGCAGCACAAATGGAGGCATACAGCTGCCAGAGGCACATGGTCCTTACACAGACTGTGTATCCTCTTGCCCTTCATACAGTTCTAGATTCAAGGAATCTAGACAAAATGCCTACCTGTGTACAAAGTAAACGGCTGTCGAAAGCAATAACGCTTTCTCTTCCATCACTGGAAAATAGTAACAAACTCTGAGTCCAGCTTTATTTCTGCGCTAGGAAAATGTAGGATTTGGTACAATACAGTGTAAATAGCTCAAAGTGCTGAATCTATGTGTGTATCTCGTCCAGCTTGTCTTAACATTAATTCTTCCTTCACTTGCTGTCATACAGCTCTGTGGTGTTTGGTGCTGGTTTGTCACACAGTGCAGTAAGAGCAATGGGGCTCTTCGGTTCAGATTGCTTTGAAGGAGATCAGGCACTCACCAGTCAGCATGAACTGATAGGCGTTGTCAGAGATGGAGAAGATGTGTGGAGGGGCCTCCTGGCGCTTTTTGCCTCGGTAGGCCAACACCACCTCCGGGTTGTACACCGGCAGCCACTTGTAGGGGTTGACAGTGACACAGAAGAGGCCCGAGTAGGTCTGTGAGGAAGGGACACGGCACGCTGGCTTCCACTCAGCCTGGCACAGCAGTCCTCCCCAGCTACGCTACCCAAGGAAGAGAGCTGCTGGTACTTACGTAGATCATCCAGGCTGCATAACGCTCTTTGAGGTTGTACAGCACAGCGGGTTCATGGAGGTGGGTCATCATAGCCATGTCCTCAATTTTATCGTACTTGGGAGGGTTCATGGAGAAGATTTGATCTTCTTTCACAGTTAGAGTCTGCCAAAGAAAAGGCAAATCCCTGCATGTCAGCTCAGAGACCACTGTGGGAATTAAATTCACATTTGCATATCTTGTCTTTTACTCACTTCTCCACTTTCAGTCTTGACAGTGACCTTCCCGGATTCTTTGCTCTGGATTGTGCTTTTCACATACGATTCTTTAGCATGTACCACAAAGACAGATGACTTGGCATCAAAAGGCTTGTTTTGGGCCTCAATCCTCTCCTTTTCTGACTTTCGGAGATAAGGAGCTGCCTCCCCAAATATGGCCATATCAGCATCTGTAGCCATGGCTGCAGTTTATTGGGAGTAATGCAGCAAGTATCTGTATGGTTATAAAATACATTAGAATAGTGCGCAAGAGAAGAAACCCTGACGCATTAGTGGATTTTTATGGTGCTCTGCTAAAGCACTGCAGAATCATACAATGGTTTGGGTTGGAAGAGACTTTAAATACCAGTTAGTTCTTACTCCCATCAGCATGGGCAGGGCTGCCTTCCACTAGTCCAGGTTGCTTAAAGCCCATTCCAACATTGCCCTGAACACTTTCAGGGATGCCTCATCACTATCAGAGTAGAGAATTTCTTCCTAATACCTAATCAAACTCTGTCTCTTGCAGTTTAAAAGCTTTATCCTTTGTTCTTCCTGATTAAGAGACCCTTCCCAGCTTTATGTAGGCTCCCACTAAGTGTTAGTAGGCTAAAATAAGGATTCTCCCAGGAGTCTTATCTTCTCTGGGCTAAGTAAACCCAGCTTTTTCTGAGTGTCTTCATGGGAGATGAGTTCTAGCCTTCTGATCATCCTTATGATCTCATCTGGACCTATTCTAACAGGTCCATGTCCTTCTTACACTGTGCTTCCTAGATTTGAATTCAGTACTATAGGTGGGGTCTCCTGAAAACAGAGTAGAGAGGGATAATCATCTCCCTAGGGCTGCTGGCTACACTTTTGAATGTAGCCCAGGATGTGGTTGGCCTTCTGCACTGCAAGTGCACATTGCCAACTCAATCCAATTTTTCATCCACCAGTATCCCCAAATCCCCTCTTCTGTAGGATTAGGGTCTCACCCTCTTATCACCCAACCTTACTGATACTGGGGATTGCCTCACTCCAGGCATAAGAGTTTGCACTTGGCCATGCTGGACTGCATGAAGTTTACCTGGGTGAACCTCTCAAGTTTGTCAGTGTCCCTCTGCATGACTTCCCTTCCTTCTAGCATCTCAACTGCATTACTCAACTTGGTGTCATCTGCAAATTTGCAGGGGGTGAACTCAATTCCTCTGATCATATTGCGGATAAAATGTTAAATGTATCACATCAACATATGTATCATCCAATTTAACTGATAACTGATGCTTTTTTCCTTTTTTTTTTTTTTTCCTGCTAATGTAGAGCTCTGTTCTATAATTTTATTTTATTTTATTATTATTATTATTTTTAAGAAAGTAAGAGCACTACGCTTATTATACTACTGCATTTTCAGAGGAATGTTTCCATGGTTCTACTCTCAGTACATATTCCACATTTTGAAATTGTGAAAGTCCTTTTATGTCTTTTCCATTTAGTATCTTTCAGACTGCATATCTACGATAAAGAACTGGAAGAGAACACTTGTTATGCAGACAGCTAGTATTACTAGCACTTCTCATTAAAGACTTTTCCTTGGGATAAAATAGCCCAAGGTGTTAAATCTTTCAATTATTCCACATATCCATCTGCTAACATCTCTGTGTTGATCTGTTTCACAGTTTCACAACAGAAACTGAGTAATCTTACATTCATTAACCACTTTTGAGTAACACCATGTATTATTGCCAAACATATATCTTGAAGGAAAAATTTCATGCAATTGTGAAGCCAGTTAAGGTATACTCCTTCAAAATGAACAGTGTTTCTAATTAATCCTTCATTTTAGCCTAATTTCATCTATATACATCATCTCCAATTTAGAATTTGAAGAAATTTTCCTAATAAATTAGCCCACTTCTATACCTACATAGGAAGGTAAAGATCTTTAGGTGAAAATCAAATAATCTGTTTGCTTTTCTTGAGAAACTATTTCACTTTGGTTGTGGGAAAGACATGTTGAATTTTGAATACTTTTTATACTGTTTTCCGAACCTTTTACCATTTAACAACTTCTTCTTTTTACCATTTAACAACTTATCTCCAGCCTAATTGAAATAATATTTTAATAATAATCTCAGTATCATTGTGCATTCTAAAACTCATTCCACTCAGTATACCACTGTTTACGTGACAAAAATTGTTTTCTCTTCTTAGACAATAAAGAAGTTATACATCAGACAACTTGTTACCAATTCAAATGCATTGATATTATCTATTGCCATAAGCATAAGCATGACTGTTCTGTTTCTAACTAGGTTTTCAACTTTGTTGACTTAAAATAATATTAAATAAGTGAAACCTTTTCACAAAATGAATATATACGTTTGTAAAACTGATTCAATCTTTCAGCAGTTGTTTTAACATTGTATTTAATATTATTCAAATAAACATATATTTTTTCCCCACTGTTTCCAGGCCAGTACCAGAAACCCTTCATGTTTGAGGTAAAGGCAAAGAAAAGGATGATTGTTGGCTTCAAGAACATATTTAATTTATAGATAAGTAATTGAAAACTTTTACCTGTTTTTTTTTTTTTAGGGCCATTATTCATAAGCTTAGGACTAAGCGTCTATAAATGTAGAAAACCCTTCCCTGTGGAAGAATCCTGGGGAGAATGTAGGCAATAAAGCACCTTTCAAACTACTGTCTTTCTGAATTCTGTCTGTTACAGGCAATCCAGCCCATGTATCATACTGTATTTTTACAATGGACATAAATAGATGGAATACAGGGATTGCCAGCACAGCTACATAGAAGCTCTGTCTTAGAGCATCTCTCTCTATCCCGAAAGAGCAAATAAATCAGTACCTTACCTTTTGTGAGACTGGAAGCTGGTCAGTACAGTAAAACAGAGTTAGCAATTTCCTTCTGCTGCACAGAATTCCAGAGAAAAATTATAAACGGAAAATGTACAGATGCCTTGAAAGCAGACTGAAAATCCCAGCTGACTCTAGCAGCCTCCCATGGAATGAATATAAGTGTTCGCAGGAATGCACTGGTGCTTGCGGAATGCAGGGCCACTTTCCCTTCACCCCCCATCTACCCAGTCAAAAGTCCCTGACACTCTTACCTTAGAGATTTCTGAAGAAAGACAAGACACACTGACCCCAAGGTACTTTTATAGGGTCTGATTTGCATATGTAGCAGCCACCTCCTGTCTCTTAGGTCAAAACATTTTTGGCAGTCTTAACTCTTAGCAGAATTCCCATTCATTAGAAGTGAATGGATATAATTAGACATAACAGGTCTGTGAATCTAACTCCTATAAATAATTTGACAAGACTGTGTGAGAAGAGGGGAAGCAGTGTACAGGAGTATGTACTAAAGAAGATGAAAGGGACTGCATAGACACTGTAATCAATCAGACGATAACTTGAGCAGAGAAAGTGAAGTGAAAGAGCCAGCATATTGTAACGAAACATGATGGAGAGGAGAATATGCAGACTACTACCTTCTGCAAATGCTCTGAGCCTGCAGTGTGAAAAAGCACAAGGGCTCGCAGTGACATGCAGGGTCATAGATAGAGAAAGGGAATCCCAGTACAGGAAGAAGCATTTGAATAGGAACAGAAGTCACAGGAATGAGGTTTGAGGGGTTCAGTGTACAATCAAATAGAAAATGGGCTGAAGCTAAAGCAAGAGAATGGGGAAAGAATAAGTCTTTGAGGTAGTGATAAGGAAAGAAGGCTATGAGATTAAGGAAAATAATGTAATAGGAGTGTGAGTCCAAGGGGATATCACCAGATGACCAAAGGTTCAAGGTCCGAGAAAAACAAAACAAATTAATCAAATCTAGAGTTGAAGATAGAAGCCTTTAAGACTGAAATAACAGCGAGAAAGCTCAAAAGAAAGGCAAAGAAATTTAACTTGTTTCTGGGCTGAATGATTCAAGGATCATATAAACAGAGCTACTGAGCTGCTCACTGAACTTAATACACATATCTTGCTGGAAGCAGGAGGAAAATGTACTGTCTCAACACAACAGAATGGTTTACACTGCTTCTGCAGAGTAAATGTGTTAGATGGAGGGAAAGAATAAATTTAGCTTCTTTGAAAGCAGAATCGTCATGTCATATGCTAGTTTGGAAGAGAAGTAGTAAGTATTAGAAAAATCCAGTCCCATGCTAACATGCAAAAAGAGACTCTACTATGCTGATTACCAAAGTTGTCTGCAGCTGAGATTATGAAGGATATTACACATGTTTTGCAATGTGGCAAGGAAATGAAAGGGAGGGCAGTGCAACCCTTTACTTTGTGGAGAAATACTTTCACACTCAGGTAATTTACACTGATTTTTTACATATAATTTCTTCTACAAATAAGGAAATCTGAACTAAAACAAAACTCAGCAACTTCACCTGATCCCTTAGCATACTGTTGCCCTACATAGCAGCACCTGTTCTGTCTCATGCCCTCTTAGCATCACCTACTCAGAGGTCTGGATAAGAAAGCAAGGAAATTCCTTCCTCCTCTTTTCTCAGCTGAATGTCACTGTGATGGTACTGTAATCCTGGGGCTGTGGAGAAAATTGGCAGAGGTAAATTCACATTTGGAGTAAAACCACATTGAAGAATGACATTGAATCCTATGATTTAGCTCTAATTGATAGATTTTTAGATGAGTTAAAAAACAAAAACAACATTACTTTCATATCTTTAATGCAATTATAGTGCTTGAGAAATGGTGTCTGCTGAGAATTTCAGATATCTTATTGACTGTGTGTTGCCTCATTTCAGTGGTACTTGCACTTCTGATCTGTATTAAAATTGACTAAAAACAAAATAATTGTGTATGTTTTAGCATACATGATTTTCTCACAGTCATATATATAGTACTGACAGCTAATAGCCTTTATGTGCAAGATGTTTTTAAAACAGAAAAAAAAATTGTACATAACTTTTGGAAGACTGAAGGGCATAAAAGGATTAATTTTTCAAGGTATTTTTCAATATTACATGGAAAATATTCACAAACTAAAATTTTGCTTTTTCTCATTCTTTCCCTTTGCTTTTGTTTCTATGTGAATATTGGTTATCTCTCTGAATTTATTATTGCTTTTGCTTTTTCCTTTTTGTGCTTTTGAGAGCAGTTTTCTTAATTTGGAGAAACTCTGTAGTCATCAAAGAAAAAACTGAAACTGTGACTTTCTGAGATGAAAAATCCTGGAAAAAGCATAAACAGAGAAAAGATGGAAGTCAAGAAAAAGAGTGTGTGTGTGGTGGGGGGAGGCAGAGATTAAATTTTGTATAGAATTGATTTTGTTTCCTTTGGTGGCAAAAGAAAAAAACAAAAACTAATTGTGTCAAGTCATATATATATATATGTGTATATATATATATGTGTATATATATATATGTGTATGTATATATATATATATATATATATATATATACTTTCCCTCTTCTAAAGTGTCAGGAAATCTTTTGTTTTAAATGACCATTACTGGTTGGGAACCCTGCTTGTGGCAGCAGGGTTCGAATTTGCTGATCCTTAAGGTCCCTTCCAACCCAACCAATTCTATGATATGATTCTATGATTAGTTTCATTTCAATCAAGCACAACAAAGACAGCAAGCTTTCACAGCTTTTCATAATAGGCTGACTGATATTTTTCTCCTTCCCTACTAAATCCCATGCCGCTTCCTCCCTGCATGAGTACAGCCCTTCCAGTGTATATCAGCATTCTCATTTGTTCAAGTCCTCCACCATCCTTTCATTTCACAATAAATTATATGCACACATGCATGGCGTCCTCCTGCAAGGTAGTTGTCTGAGATCCCATTATCACAGAATTGTAGAATGGTTTGGGTTGAAAGGGACCTTTAAGATCATGAAGTTCCAACTCCCTACTATAGGCAGGGACATCTCCCTATAGACCAGGTTGCTCACAGCCCCATCTAGCCTGGCCTTGAGTGCTTCCAGGGAGGGGGCATCCATAGCCTCTCTGGGCAACCTGTTCCAGTATCTCATCAGTAGAGAATTTCTTCCTAATACCTAGTCCAAATCTACACTTTTCCAGCTTAAAGCCATTTCACCTTGTCCTGTCACTACATGCCGTTATAAAAAGCACCTCCCCAGCTTTCTTGTAGGTCCCCTGGAAGAGCTATAAGATCCCTCTCAGTCTTCTCTTTTCCAGGCTGAAGAGCCCCAGCTTTCTCAGTGTCTCCCTGTAGGGCAGGTCCTCCAGCCCTCTGATCATCTTTGTGGCCCTCCTCTGGACCTGCTCCACTGATGG